CGGTCGCTAATGTCGGTATAATCCGCCATTTTATTTGAGTGTGTTTGCCACCCGACTCCGCCCGGTGACGTCATCATGTGCGCTATAGAAGGAGGTATGTGATTCGTTGACTAAAATCGTCGATAGTGGGTCTCGTTGAAATCTCGTTACATAGGCATCGGCTCAGATGTAGGTAGGGCGGAATTAAAAAAATCACAAAATCAAAATCAAAGTAAAATAATAAAATAAAATAAAATAAAAGGGCATTAATAAGAAAAGTAATAAAAAATAAAATTAAAATAAGTTTATAGCCAAAATAATTAAAGCCTGTACACTACATCAGATTTTAATCAGATTGCTATTAAGGTAGAAGCCTACTCATGAATGCAAATACCCAGAATTTTCAATAAGTTGTACTTCCGGACAATACAAGACTATTGACTTTAAAAAAAGTTGGGGGTCATCGGCATAATTTTAGAGAAAATGATGGTTATATTTTAGTTGATAATGGCCATTTTGGTAGTATTACCGGATACCCCGCCCTGGGCGATCTTATGGAGGATTCAATTTTTTTTAAGAAAAATGTGGACCAAAAGATCGCCCGGGCGATGTTTTGGCAGATATTACGAGGTTCATCTTGTCTGGAAAAATAACCCTGCGTTGATAAACATAGTCTCAGAAATTGGTAAGAAAAAATAATGTTTCGCGTTGACCAAATATAATCACGCAAAGTATAAATTCAAAGTGTTTTAATACATTGGTGAAAGGTCGCATTTTACGTGAACAAGAACATGCACTAAGAAGGAAAAGCAAGCCAAAGTCGAAACGGGGTGCACCATAGACATAACACAACATACGCTGCGACAACTGAGTGATCAGCGACATCATTTTGGGACGCAATTGAACTTCAAGAACTTCTTTGCAAAACTTGCTGCGTGGCGATGCTGACATCAAGTGTGTGTTGACCGATTTTTAACTCTCAGTCACGCACTGAACTGGCGCGTTACCTTAGCAACCTTTTTCTTTTGTTGTCCGCGCGTCGATCTAGTAAAATTGTTATTATATCCGAAGGTACTGTAATTACGCAACTTGTATGCAACTCTGTACTGGCTTTGAATATATCAACGTCGTTTACTTAGTTCACTGCTTTTTTAATTTCGCAAATGTGTTTACAATATTGCACGGGCTCTGAATAGTTCAACTGTGTTATGTATTGCTTTCATGATAATTACGCAAAGTTATTTTTTACTATAATTGTTAGGATTCTGACCCGGGGTATTGGGTCTGTGAATAATTCAATATTACCGACTTGATAATGCGTTGAATTCGTAATAATTACGCAAACATAAACATGGGCGCATTTAAATCATTGAAAGGGATAGTAGTTAGGTGTCTACGGAAAGTCAAGAAAATATTTTAAATACTTGTGATTCATCGATGTTCCAATGGTGAATTATTTTATTCGACATGAAGAGAACAGGTAATATAAACCATACCATGCATCAAGTTAAATTTTACTATAATATAATAAGCTATGGACAGTGCACTTCGATCGCAATATTCAAGTACATTTAGTCTGAACTCTAATAACCACGCGTTTGAATTACGTGCAGCATTGGGCAATGACCTCCAGAGTTCACGCACTGATATTTAAATTCAGGCCATCCAGCTTGACGCAAATCAATATAGTTACTTTTCATTTGTTAAAAAAATCTTTCAACTCACAAATACCATGAACGCAAAGAGTTAACTGGGGGTTAACTGAAAGGGAACGTCTTTTTTTGACAAAAAACACGTCATTACAAGATCATGTGTGCAAGGTTAGATTTGTGAACGTACATGACAGCTTAACTCTGTGTTTTTTTTAATAATCATGTCGCATGTGAAGCGCAGGAGACATTTTAGTTCGCCCATTTCTTGTTTACCGATCTTGAACTTTTTGTTTGGAATGCGATACAGACAAAGATTAAACATTACCGATAACAACTAAGAAGCTCGAATAAGGAAAGCTTGGCTATTTTAAACTTCGTAAATAACATTCTTTTCAAAGCGTAGACTTTATTCGAGTCTAATAAACGTAAGTGAAATGTATTTTAACGAGTAATAATAAGCAACAACAATTCGTATACAGCATTGGTTTAATTGGAGTTTTATGCTTTTCGACTTCACAGTAAATTATTTTTAGCGTCATATTTGAAATAGCGCGCTCGATACAAGATGTCGGACAGGAAAATTGGGTCTGTAAAAATGTTTGTAGGTTAAGTCAGGCAATGTGTGGACCAAAACATCGCCCACTATTTGAAACATCGCCCATGGGCGGGGTTTAGGATGGGCGGGGTATCAGCTGAATCCGGTATATTGCTTTTTTCATAGGGTTCTATCACATAAATAATATGCCATTTCCATTTTGGCAACATAGGCTGAAAAAATTATATATTTTCGATGAAGGGGTACTTCTTGTTTTAAAAATGTAAAAAAAAATGCAATTTTTCTTCAACAGGGTGATCTGTGAAATTGTTCTAAAAACAATGATTTTTAAAAAATATTAGGACACAAAATGTGATTTCATGGTTCCATGGAACATTAGCTTCGTGACTTTAAACAAATAAACAGTGTCATGTTATTTATGACCAACTTTTTCAAAAATTATGAAATAGGCTTCTACCTTAATCAACAATCAAATGTCACACATTTTCATAGAGTAGCTCTTATTCAACGGTTTTCACAGTAATTAGACATTCATACTTCTCTTTATATACATTTCACATATAATTTACAAACCTGGTTTTGGTGTGCAGTATTACAGCTGTATAATATGTATATGCCTTAACAGGTTGAAAAAGAACTTGGTGCCAGGATATCACAGTGGGAACAAGAGAAGTGTAAAAACTTCTTGGTTGATGGTTGCCCTTTCATGGACTATGTACAGGCACAGTGGGCAGCTCATGAAACTGAGAAGAAAGTTGCCAAAGATCAGAGGGTATGACCAATTTAATGCCTGTTGTATATTCTGTCAAACCACACGTTTTGTTTTATCTTAGATTGATGAAATCATAGTGTGTGTACTGTAAACTGTTTAAATTTCCTGAAAGACAAATTTTGTGAGTGAAAATTGTAAAATTTTGTAGCAGTAAAAAATTTGTGACGTTTGCGAAATTTCATGAAATCCTAAATACGCAAACATTTCTAGCAGTAAAACAGTTTGCATTATAACAGCATATATCAGCCAAAACTAAGTTAGTACTTGGCTTTGTTGCTACTTGGAAATACCTGGAACCAAAGAACTGTTTTTTTAAGATCAAAAGAATTTAATATTTTGTATAAGAAGACAATTGTTTTTTGTGCATGTGTACAGCTGATGGCAAACTAAAATAAACGTGTCGTTGGCAATTGAATGTATCTGAATGGTATTAAATGTATTTCTTTTGTTTCAGGTGAAAGCTAGAGCTAAGGAAATGGAGCAAGAAATGAAATGGGGAAGTAAACCAACTACGCCAGTAAAAAGGAGGTTTATCGGAACAACTACACCAACCAAAACACCAAAACGAAGGAAGGCTGTAAGTATACACATCCAAAAAATACTCTTGATTCTGTTTATTATATTTTATCGGCAACAGCCAATAACAGTGGTCTGTTAGTTACATCTGTTAGATTTCGAAAATATCAACACAATCAGTATATTTATGAAATAACAGACTCAAGATAACTTTTAAAAGAGTACAGACTCATGGTAAAATGATCACTATTTAATGAAATGATTGCCATCACTAATTTGAATTATAAAAATTAGCTATTCTATTTGAGAATCTATTCTTAGTCGCCTCAACTCAACCATAGGTAGACTTGGTATACTATACTTCTACTATATTATGTGTTTGACCTATTGCATATTATGCTACCATATTCCAACTTTATATGCACTTCACTAATGTATAGCAACTTTCAATATATCAGTATTGCAACAGTTAATTAATTTTAATAAACCCAATCATATGATTTGATGAACTGATAATTTTATTAACATGACTCATAAAAGTTATTTTACTAACTGGGTATGAACCATCTTTCTATCTCAAAGTTGACACCTGCTTCAGGCTCAGCCAAAAAAGTTGAATTCTCTGCTATGACATGTTAGTAGCTCTAGTGATATACCCTCTAGAACCCCCCCCCCCCCCCCAATACTCCTTTGAACTCCAGAGATCTAACCTATGATATTGGGCATTTTATTGCTTAGCTAAATGGAAGTGCAGCTCCATCACCTGCAGTCGGCAGAATCGGTACCAAGAACAGCAGTGTGTGTCCATCACCTGCCATATCAGGAAGACCACCAAGATCTATGAAAACCAAAGTTAGTCATGATTCTAGTTTAATCTTTTAGTTTAGAATCTGTCATTTATTGAAGTGGAATGCGTGATAAAAATTGACTTGCATATGCACAAAACAAAATACAACACACAGAATTCAACTGCTGAAGCACTGGAGGGTAGGGGTAGGATAAGATTTGGGGTTAGGAATGGGGGTGCAAAAGGAACTTTTTCTCAACACATTTGATGTAGTCCAAAGCGATAAAATGAATTGTGGTTCATTAATTCTCATTTACAGATGTCATTATAAATGTTAATTTAATAATGCGTTTATTTTATTAATCTTGATAGACTCCTGCTCGTCCTAAGATTGCCACTCCAGTGAAGCGTACTCGTAGAGCGCTAGCCGATCATAACCAAGACACTGAGTCTGCGTCACCATTTAGTACAACCACACTGAGTGGGGCGTCGTCCACCACTGCCAGTAACATTAGCACCATGTCTCTTGCTTCTACTACCTGCATGTCATACACTGATTTCTCAGTAAGTCAAATCTTTCATATTGGAATAATCCACCTTAAAACGTGTGGTCTTGGACGCACAGTGAATGTGCTAGGATCAGTGTGCAAATTTACTGTGTTTATTGTATCTCTGAGATCGTTCCTGTAGTTTTAGGACTTGTTATTTATTTACTTGTCCCTAGTAATTTGAATCAGGTGTGATTCTATATGAATTCATGAGCACTAAAACGCTATTCAAAAACATTAGACAAGCAGCCTGTCGTTAGCAATGCACATTTCAATTAAAGAACAGAAGATATCATTAGAAAATGAACAATATATAGACTTGCTGTTTTCAACAAGAATTCAAAAATATCACTTTTCACCAAAAATGACAAAAATAATCATCAAAATTAGATAATTGAAGATATTACCACGAAAGTAACAAATCTGAAAGAGGTTCACATGTAGTACCTATATATGTAATATAAAAGCAATCAGACTAGTGGTTTTTAACAAAAAGTCGAAAATATCACTTTTTACCAAAAATTACAAAAATATTCACCAAAATTATAGAATTAAAGATATCATTACAAAATGAACAAATCTGAGAGAGGTCCACATGTAGTACCTACGGTATATATGTAATATCAAAGCAATTGGTCTTGCGTTTTTTAACAAGAAGTCGAAAATATCACTTTTTACCAAAAATTACAAAAATATTCACCAAAATTATAGAATTAAAGACATCATTACAAAATGAACAAATCTGAGAGAGGTCCACATGTAGTATTTATATATGTAATATCAAAGCAATTGCACTTGCAGTTTTTAACAAAAAGTCGAAAATATCACTTTTTACCAAAAATGACAAAAATATTCACCAAAATTAGAGAACTAAAGATATCATTACAAAATGAACAAATCTGAGAGAGGTTTACCCAAGGTACATATACACCAAGTATCAAAGCATTCAGGCTTATAGTTTTCAAGAAGTCAAAAAAGTAAAACATTGACACGGACGACTGTCAACGACGGACAATCACTCATATGATAAGCTCCGCTCGACAAAGTCGACAGCGGAGCTAAAAATTACTTTCAAACACGCAATCAAAAAGAGACCAAGGCAGTTTCCAACATTTGCATGTGCTGAAAACACTTGCACTAATTCATACTATCAAATATTTCAACTCATCATAGTCAAAAGCTTTGTAAATGTTGCCACTTAACATTTAGACGCGAGTAACCATGAGAATATTTTGATCACCCAAATATGAATATCGTTGTAACTTTCATGTATTGTCCAGGCAATTTGTATTGTATGCAGAAATACACATTCATCCAAATCATCAAATGTATTAACATGGATCTGTTTTTAATCTATTTCACAGCATGGTTTAAATGTTGAAGGGCGTAAAAATTACAGAAGTAGTGCCTTGCCAAGTCCTACAAATGGCAGAGTATGAAGCAGTAACCGCTCCTTACGTTGTATATAATATTAATTTATGTTAATGCAATAACTGCCTGCAAACACACACACAGTACCGGTAGTCAAAGCACCAGGGTAGCTCATAACCCAGTAATCAATAACTTCCAGCAAAAGGATACATAGTTATACACACAATAGCACAGTACAAGGGGAGCTCATAACCCCACCCATCACTACCAGTCCAAAAGCCACTTACGGTACATAGTGGTGCGACCATATTGGAGCTCACAAAACTGCCAACAACGAAGTGACTACACACGGTGGTATCTGTTCTATTTGCGAAAATACATTTATCAGTTTTGTATGTTACATAGTTGTATAAATAAATTACACCATAGCCAATTACAATATTTCCTCCATGAGAAGTGTACTGGTCGGTGTCCATAATTACGGTATGTAAATTTTACCATATATCGGTATGTGTACATGTATTAAAAGCCAAATGTTTATGTTTTGAGTATTAAAAGCGTGCCTCTATCACTTGCTATGGCATTTTGTACATTATGTGCACGTACCGGTACTTCAAATAGAGCAAATATGGTTGACAGTTTTCTGTTCAACAAGGTTCCTGTAATTCATGATAGAGAAAGTACAGTATACATATTTTTTTTCGATTCATATACAAGTATATTGAAAGTATATAAGTTTTTTTACGTTCAATTTTCAGTCGTGTGTTTTATTAGTAGCATTTTTTAGAAGTAATTTTTTAAGTTTACATATTATTTTTTCAAATTCCTTTCACGGAATTGAGATTTATTATTTGCGATGTAACCAATATTGGCATTGAACATTTTTTCTTTTTCAACTGAATGGTGTGTATATATTTGCTTGGGGAGGGTCACGAGTTTGGCGATTGATGACATCTCGTATTTTAAAGTTGTTATATCTTATCACCATCAGTACAACTGAGGCATAAACATTTAGATTTTATTATATTTTATAATTTCCATCTTAACTTTTTCCTCTGAATATATTTTTACTTTGAGCATATTTAGATGTAAGGTAACTTGAATTCTATAATTTTATTGGAAATATCAGATATAAATGGTGTTTTTGACTTTTCTTTATAAAGTCTCATCCATTTGCTTTGTTTTATGTTTAACATGAAACCTTCATAAGATGACTCTTCTCGGATATAAAGTCTAATTAGAGAAAAAAATGTTGAGGCTGCAGGCCAACACATTTTATTGTGGAAAGGACTTTGTATGAAGATGAGTATGTACGAGGATTTAATCTGACTTAGAACCCATCATCACAGATCAATAGATAAATATTTTGGGGGAAATTTTCTTTTGAAGACATTTAGTGACTCTTATCAACATTTCTGCAGGGAATTTGTAATCGTAAATGTTCATGATCTAACTTAAATGGCCCAAAAGTCGAAACAATCAATATAGATAGCTAAATGGACAGTGGGTTTGTCACATCGCCGGTTGTTTAAACCCAGCTTTTATAGTTTCTTCTTATTAGCACAGTAGAACTTGCTCTTTGTTGCCACATAATCCAAAAAACAATGAGAACAAAAAGTTTACTTGAGAAAACTCAGAAATTGAACATTTAGTGTATATAAATTCCTGGAATGAAGCATTCTTATTGGTCAAAAAACACATGGTGTGTTTTAAGTGGTGGATTTGTTCTTTTCAATCAATTTTTTAGTGAATTCTTTGGTAATTTAATTAATAATATCGGCAAAATCATGCCCTTATTTTCGATGAAATATACTATAATCGAAGAATTTTTACTATGCAATGTCTGAATGCAGTATATTCGTATGTATGTATAAGCGTTGTGTAACTTTTAGAATTTGCGGTCATTGTTCTCAAAATTTGTAAACTAAAATTGTAGCAGAAGTGCATAATGATCTGCTTATGAATATTCATGATCTAAATCGAAAGCCAATGACCAACCATGTGTTCCGGATAGCTTAATATGCAGCGTGCCGGTCGCATCACTGTTTGAGCGAGATCTGGGTTTGCCCCAGCCTTTGTGTTATGTGTATAAAAGTCCTACGACAGTTTATGAGAACAAAGGGATATATTAATACTTGTTTAAAAGAAAATTTTTTACACAAGAAAACAAGTGACTGTAAAACTGGACATTTAATGCAATGGAGCATTCTGATTGGTCAAAAGGTGTACTACATAGGTTTTGAAGAAAGTTGTGCTGTTGTGTAATTTGTCACTATAATACATCTGTGTAAATTATTTCATCCACTTTACCACTCGGCTTTTATCTGTCACCTTTATTTTCTCTATTTTTGCATGCGTATGTAATAGGTATAGATTTTTCAGAAAGATAAATAAATGCAATAGTCTCATCTGGATGCGTTTTTTTGTGTGTTCCCATGGTGTTGTAACAAGTATACAAAAGACTCAATCAGATTTAGATAGAGGCGGTAGCTCCTAGTTATTTTTATTTAAGTACCGTAATCTTGCCGATTCAGATACACCACAACCATTCTTTATGAGAAATCTATACTTACCCTCAAAGTGAGAAGGTAGTCTCCTGTGCACGTGCGGAAATAAGTCCCAAGCAATGATAACGCATGCTAAAAACGCACAGGCTCATGCGTAGAAGCTTGTTTGTAAACAATGACACACTATGGCCATCTGACGCATGCGCAGGTGACAACTCCCCGGCTTTAAAGTGACAGGACAGACCGCAACAATGTTCATTTAACAGGTCCCAAAGTGACCAATTTTAGAATAATTGATTAGCTCAGTCAAAACATGTTTGAGGGCATTAGATTATCCTATAGACAATTTTCTTGTTTACCAATCTTGTGATTAGCGAGCTGGTATTGTCAGAAAACCCAGCATCATATGGTTCAGGAAAGTTCTTGGATCGTTTTTTCCTAACTTTTCAAAATATCTAACATGTTTAGCGGCCAAGCATGCGCTTCCAGAAAACTTGATCGCTAAGACAACATATTTACTCAAGTGCTGCAAGATTTGTGGACCTTAGGATCAGCACAACCTGTGTATGTACTACCAGGTAGGAATTGGCTAGATGGTCATCACGTGTAAACCTTATAGCACAATCGCTGCCCTCTCAGTTGGTCAAAGATTTTTTTATGAGATCAAATTAAAACAAGTTGTACGATATTCCAACTGGTCTGGTGCCTCCACTTCCAATGCATCACTGATGGCTGTTACAATAAGCCTGCAAATCCCCCCTCCCAATAAGCATAATTTGTTAACACTGAAAGTATTTACATATTAAAATTAGAAAATGTGGTCATACACAATGAATAAAAACTTTTTCTAATTTTTTTGCAATCTCCATCGCACATTTATTCAAATGAAAACGCAGTAAAATAACTAGATCCCACTTTCTTTCATTAAAAAATATGGAATACAGTTTTATTTACCATGATTTTTCAAATTATAGCATATTTATTAATTTTATAATACAGTTGTACAATTCTTAATTGAGAGATTGGCATGTTGTGAAATATCAATAATTGATGAGACCTCCCAATGAATGTACAAGACACAGCAAAAAAAAAAACATCTTTAAAGATGTCACAATTATAATTCCCAGATCCCTTCAAACAAGCAACCAAAAAATCAAATGCACAGATGTTGTATCTGTAAATGTGAAATCAGTTAAGCTATTTGCACACCAGAACAGTTACCATAATTTGGTCGCTCACATTTCCCAATACGAATAATTGAGAAAAGAATAGAACGAGTAACTTTAAAGTCATTTGAGACGTTTGTTCACAAAATAAGCATGTTTCAAGGAGGAATTTTCAATAAAAACTAAATATAACAGAATATGAATAGTAGAACATAAAGCATTATGATGCAGCATATTTTCCAAAATTTCATTTTCTGTTGTAAAATTGATGCACAATCCAAGTGAACAAGTTAGAAAATGCTGTAATAGAACCAATCTAACAAATAAATGGATAAAATCAGCATCTACGAGAACTGAATGTTTGTGTAACAGAGCAAGGCATGACAAGACAAATCATGCAACATTTTCCTTTGATCAAAACATTTCCGGCAGCAAATATTTATCAGTGCATTATTGAAATGCAAAAATATGATAAAACACTAAAAGTTGTGCATTCACATATAAAAACACTGCTGTCATCTGATTGGTCCATGTTTTTGAACAAAATTGTTAACAGGGGAAACAAAAATTAATATTGTAAGGATATATTACCGGTAATTACTGTTCAAGTAATAGTAACTTAATGATGTACTGGGTAAATAAAATGTTTTACACAGCTGTCATTATGAGACCAGTAATGTCAAGGATTGTTTGGCCTCCAACTAGCATGAACAAAGCTAGTGATTTTTTCTGGCACAAGTCAGTCCCCATATCCCTGTAGTATGAACATCGCTAGTGCTTTTTCTGGATGAAGACTGATTTAACCTTTTCATCACCAGACTTTCTCGCCTGAATTTATCTGCACTTATATTCTTCAATATTTCTTGAAATGAACCCTAATTTTGGCCAAAATACAAAATTTGAATCAGTTTTCATTCAAAAAATTTGGCTATTATTGCCCCAATCTCTGAAGGAAATTACATAGACTAAAAAAAAGACGATTTTGTGAATTTGTGATTAAAAGATGGAACTGGTGGTGGTTAATGGTTGTTATGACAAGTTGTATTCCATATTATGTATAAGCATGTGTGAAATACATTGTTTACAAGAAAATGAAATGTGTACTGCATGGTCACCATCTCTTTGTAACCCAAGCCAGACTCCATTCAGTGTGAACATAGCTACATGTATTTCAAAAAAACTGGAGGTATGCAGCGGTAGATCCATCTTTCCAGGAAGGATCATCAGCTATTTTCGCCCGACACATAGGGCAGGTTCGTTCCCGGTCAAACCAGATGGACACGCACTCTTCACAGAATATATGCTGCAATGAATGAAAATAATAACCGTATTTATCTAAATAATCACCCACTGTGAAAGGCTGCCCACGAGCAATGCTTTAACACATGGATCTTTTGATGTCGCAAAAACAAATAAATACAAGAAATTAACACAGTAACATAAATAAATGTTTTTCGTAGAATTTGAATTGGGATACAAAGTAACAATGACTAACTATCTCGATGACTTACTTTGCACGAGTGAAGCATGATAGGATCATCGTAGTCTTCTTGACAGATTGGACATGAACTACCAGCTGCTAACATCTCTTCTTTATTTGGAATATCACCGTATTGCTTGAGATAAAAGAAAACAGATATGCGAATAAGCAGTGACAACAAACTGTCATGCTGCATTTTCATGTTTCACTAGTTCATCAAGTTAAAATCAAATGTAAACTTTGAAACAAATAAAAAAATAAGTGTTCAGTTAAGGACGACGTCAAATGATCGATGTTGGTTTAGTTTGGGGGTGGGGGTTGGGGGTTTGACCTCAAAGTTTCCATCCTACAAAAACGATTTTATTTTTTGATGAAGTCTTTGTATTTGTGGTTCATTTTTTCTATTCAATCATGGACAAAAATAACAGAAATAACAGTTTCAGTGGGGGGTTTGGAAAAAACGAAAGGAATTAAGTTTTTTATGCTAAATTGAACTTTTGATGTTGTCCCTTAGATATTACACGTTTTTTAATCGTTGCCATGAATTAGCTTAATTGTACAGTGACTCGTACACAGACCATGAATGCAACATAAGTAATAGTAATTAGGAATAACTAACTCAAAGGAAAACCTAGTACTTAATTAAGCATAGCTCTACAATTCCTGGATCACACCAGTGCATGATGGGAAATTAATTTGAATGGCCCAACCATCATTTACTCTGTATACAAACGTTAGCAGGTGTGTTATCTTGTGTCCTAACATCTTATCTATACATGTGACTCACTTGAAAAAAGACATACTGTCAATAACACTTTGCATTACCCTGTGATTGACATTCATTTTGAAAACTTGCATGACTGTTTAAAAACATGCCTTCAGATTTGATACTTAAATCTTGTAAAACTAAATCAAAATTGTTTCCTATAAATAATAATGAATGCATAATTATAAACTATTATCCACATACTAAGAATATACTTTTTGCATCGATAATTAACATATTAATCAATCAAATGAAATTATAAAGTACCCCGGTACCAGAATCCTATATGATGTATTGTTTAGTGGTGCTGTATAATGAGTACGTTGTACAAGTGAACATGCGAGTTTGTAGATTTTTCCAATCAATGAGTCAATGGCAGATTTCTGGCATAGTTGGTGAGCCTTTCAATCAATACAAGTCTGATGTTTGGAGCATGCATTTGGCAAATGAATGGAGTCAAAGGATTGATTTTCAAGTGTAGGATTGTCAGATACATAACTACATTCGTGGGGGGTGCATGACACAATTGCCTGAAAAAAACAAATTGTCTCATTTGATAAATTAATATTCATGAAAAATTCGTCTTTTCAGTAAAACTGTTCTGAAATGCTTTCCAGTAGCCAACATGACAGTTCTAAATCGACCAATTCTATCGTTATGAGTTGCAAAAAATGGTGCAAAAGTTTTTTTTTTTTTTTGCAGAGGCTCGTTGATATTTCACTCTAGTACTATTGCTCAAATATATCTAGTACTATTGCACACAATATTTTCAATAACTTTTACCAGTGACAAGTTACCTAATTAATATGCATTTCAAGTGTGTGTGCACACTTTTAATAATCTTGAACGCAATAAAATCATGCGTAGAACTCACTACCGCAAGAAACTAGTAGCACAAAACTACTTGTCAGTTGAATTGTTTCCCAATAGCCACAATTTTGTTATTAGTTTAGTTATTCAACCACCTGGCAAGAAATAAAATAATATGAATCAATCTTGACAAGAGACACTTAAATTTTGATGCAATCATGAATGATCCATTTTATTCAACAACACCACCTTCCTGCACTGTCAAGATTAATTTGCATATTATGCAAATGAGAAAATGGAGTCCAGGGTTACTGATTATCTAGACTACAACCATTGTGTAATAATATACTGCTACCCACCACATCTGAAAATAAGTTCTTCCATGCTTTTCTCACATCCAGCGTTCTGTCAAAAACTGTACGAGCCTAGTGAAAAAATAGCACATAATGTCAACATGAATGATTTAATCATTAATTGGAGAAACGAGATAACGCACACAATGTTGATATGTTGAATGATTTTTTACAAATCTCACCAGCATTATATTCCGGAATATGCTATTTTGTAAATGTTCAATGAAAGTGTTGCAGGTGTTCATAAAACACTGATTTTTGTCCACAGAACACTAGTCTTGTGTTCAGCGTTTTTGTTCACCAAGTGATCATTTAGTATTTGATGCTTTAGTGGGATTCACTGAATACATGTTGATATTTGGGTAGTGTTCATAAAAGCAACTGATGGAATTGATGTTCATCGACAAATTTGAGGTTCAGGCAGCGTTGTGTGAATACATGTACCTGTTGATGTTAATTCTTATCTGGTCAAATCAATGTGAAAGTACATGGGGCTGACAGAATAAAGGTTAAAGTAGTGTCCATCAAACACTCGTTGGTGTTTAGTTGTGTTTATTGAAATTTAATAATTTGATGTTCAGGCAGTGTTCAAATAAATACCTGTTCACGTTTGTGTAAAGATTTCTTGGTGTTTAGCTATATTTCATTGAATAATTTGGTGTTCAGGAAGTGTTTATTGAGTACATGTTGATGCTGTTCATCAAACACTAATTGATGTTTAGCTGTTGGTGTTCAACAAATATAATGTTCAGACAGTGTTCATTGAACACCTTTTGATGTTCATGACATGAATCTTTGTACACTATACCTTCAACTGTAATACACATAAATCATTAATAAAAATTAATTAATATTTTTAATAATGAATATATTAATTAATATATTTAAGTTCTGGTAAATGATTGTTTAAAGGGTTACCATACCTTTGCTATCAGGTAAATAAATACTAGACAATATGTCAGTATCCAATGAGAATATGTGTCATCGCTTAAATAAGAACACCAAACAGGAACAGGGGGCAATAACCTGTAAAACTGGGAACACTGTTCAATAAACAGGTAATATTTTCCCTGCAAAAAAAAAAATAAAAAACATACACTGTAGTTGTATTCATCATTATTGAATGTGAGACAGTGCAGTTTTCTATATATTACTTGACGTATGTTCGTACATTACATGTGACCTCGAAATTGCTACTTTCAGATTTTTAGTACATGCATTTCGGTACAGACTAAACCTCGAACAGGACTGATTTTGTAGCAATCTTGAGTCAAAAATGGAATCCCAAAAAATAAAGTTGGTTTATCTTGTTGACTGCTGGGAAGAAATCTTCAAGTAAAAAAAAAAAATTTCGAGGTACCGATAACTTTTTAATGTCAATACCAAGGATTTAGCATAACTACGGTAATTAATCATAATTTGTGATGATGTCACCATGTTGTTTCTGGATTGGTCAATTTAGATTCTACCAGTCATTTTGATTTATAAAAATTTATATTCATAAAGCGTTTATAACAGATACAGCTTTCTCTTCACAGTATTTAGTATTGTGTTATTGTATTTTAATAAAGTTATGATACTTACTCTGACCTTGTAGCCCAACCATGATTTGGGTAAAAGTGTTACTAAGCATTTTGCTGCTATAGTAATAAACTTGATAATGAAATCAGTAATTCCCACAATCCAAAATAGATTCCATATATCAATCTGGTCAAAGTTTGGCTTCATCAATATCAAACTGAAAGATATTAGAGTTGCTATTTCAGTATTAAAAAAAATAGGAAATTACGTCCAATAAAAATACTGTGAAATAAATTTTTTCGCTGAAAAAGATTTTTGGGTGTTTTGTATGAACACATTATTTTCACTGATTATTGATGAATTAAATGTAAGACATAGAAGAAAAAGTATATTCGCTGGATTTTATTTTCACTGAAGCATCCCTTCAGCGGAAATAGCGAAAATAAATTCCAAGCGGAAATAAAGTATTCTACAGTACATGATTTAGCTGGAAAAATTATGATCTTCAAAAGAAAATGTAATAATAGTGATGATGGCATACAACAGAAAAATAAAGTATCAGGATTTCATGCATTCTGATTATCAAAAAAGTGAGATTTCATGGAGTACATGGACGAGATATATCATAGAGTGGGACTTGCATTTGAAATATTGTCTCGGTAGTACATCCAGAACGAAGGTTTAATACTTGAAATACTGGCCATGTTACATATACTGGTAGTTTTTTATTTTAAATAATATATTTCGAGATTCACAATGCAAAGGGTTATTGTCACATCACAAAACCTCGTAAAACAATCAAATATGGTTCTTACCAGTTTTGGAGTTGATGTTCAGTGAAAACGTAATATATAAATAACATATTTAGTGGCATGAATGTCATGGTTACCAACAAAGTGAAAAAGTTTCTTTTTTCCTACAGAAGAAAAGAATTATGTTACAGCTGAATGCATCTGGTAAGTGTTGTCATCATGAAGTTTGAATTATTAAAAATTAACTTTCAGGTAACAGGTACATTTTTGTGATGGGCCACACTAGCCAATGAAAAATTATATAACAGGCACTAATTTTCAAGGCATTTGTTTTTAACTTTCATTTGAATAAAAAGTTTATATTTTATATAAGACATTCATGGCTTCCTGAAATGTTTTGTACTCCCGTAAAATCTGTATTAGAAGCCTCGTCCCTGATAAAAGTTACACTCATTCTTCTTGAATAATTGAGAACCAAAAATTTCTCATATGTGTAGATGCTCTAATAGAAGCCACATGTTGCATTGTACAATTTCAATAGAAGCCGTGGTTTCTAATACAGATTTTACAGTACTTATTCACGTCCATCATGTATTTATTCATTCACTCACCTTGCTCAAATTAAATTAGCTTTCCATGAGGATGTATATATATATAAAAACAACATTACCTTTAGAGCAACCTGCCTCTTCAAGCTTCCATTGAAATGAAGGAAAGTTCCAAACATGCCAATTAAAACAATCAAACCTGAAAATAAACAGAAATTAAAAGTTGAATTGAGAATTTATGAAACAAATATAACCATGAAAAAGTGTCATAAAATTCTATGGAGTTATGTACATGTATATGAGACATTGCTATACAGCAGTCTCTGCAGATATTACATAAACTCAGAAAATATACTTTTTGCCTACGATACCGTATTTGCCCTATTAGAAGCTCATATGCAGTAGAAGCACATGTATTGTACAGGGGTCGAAATTAAGGACACCTGTCCCAGACAGGCAAATTTCAAATTGTCTGTCTTAATGGACAGGCGAATAAAGATATCAAGTTTTACTAAATGACCAAATTGGGTAGTACAATGTTGCTAATATCCAGAAAAGTGCTTTTAGAATTTTTAAGACTTGAAATGATCAGCCAATAATTAAAATTGTATTTTAAATAATTATATGTCTTATTTTATCTTGCTAGGAACAGGTACATCATCAATTAGGACAGACACTATTCGCAAACCTGTCCAATGAACAGGCAAATTTAATTTTTAATTTCAACTCTGTTGTATACTGGATCAAAGAATTATGACTTATTTTGCCCAAAGACAAAATATATAATCACATGCACTACTAATAGGATAAATATACATTTCTCTGATTTTGAATTTTCAAAATAAAAACTTGAATGAAGCTAGACTGATCTATAAATACATGTATAGTATGGTACCAAACAGTTTGCAAATTTAAATGTAATATGTAAAGGCACCAAATGTACACAGGCCAAATAAAGCTAGTAAACTGTAGCACCAGTTAGGTATACATTTCCATATTAATACTGCATTTGCTCTACTAAAACATCTGTCTTTGCTCTACTGTATCACTAACAAAATGAAAAGTCTCTGGTTGTGGATGCAAGTGTAGTGATTTATGATATTTTGTTTCCAGTCTTTTTGCAATGTTGTTGTTCCATTTATTTGGACTTGAAAATAGCATTAATCTACTGGTACTTCAAAAACACGGCTGCTCGTATCATCACCTGTACTAGAAAGTACCGGGTAATTCCAGTTCTACAAAAATTTGTTCCAAACTACCTCTGTGATCTTCATTTATACTGTGAAATACTTTATTTTCGCTTGGAATTAATTTTAGCTATTTTTGCTGAAGGAGTGATTCAGTGAAAATAAAATCCAGCGAATATACCTTTTTCCTATATTTCACATTCAACTCGTCAGAAATCAGTGAAAACAAAATTCCATACAAACACCCAAAAACACTTTTCAGCGAAAATTAATTCCAGCTAAAATAAAGTATTTCACAGTATACACCGGGTTGCACGCTTCGTTCTTCCAATAAGAACCTTCTTTTCATCATAAAATATAAATTAAAAACATATGATGGGCATGCTGCTCAAGTAACCGATGTCAACTTATTCAGAAAAAGACTGAAAACATATTTATCAACAAAGCCTACAGCATAGAATAACTCCCCAGAACCTTTGAACAGAACTAAGTTTTGGATCCAGGCGCTTTATAAATGTTTATGATTGATTGATCGATAAGAGCAAAGTGAGTCACGGTTTTCACCAGTTGTAAAGAAACATAAGAAAACACTCACCTAGCCTATGGTCGACTAATGTTTTTAATAAAACAACAATTACAAACGGGATAATCTTTTCCACCCAGGTACCGGCAATTCGTAAATCTGCCAGACTGGCTGTTGCATTGCCAATACCACCATTCTGAGTCCCGCCTCCGGTGTTTTCATTTTCATCTTGCGCAGTATTTCCGGGTATATCGATAATGACGTCACCACCAGTTGCGCCATGTTGATGTCCATGGTTTAATGCGTGTAGCGTGGAATCTACAGTGGGCATCACCCCTCTCACGTACCCGCTAAAGTTTCTACTTGCTGTGGATTGTTCTGTAGCCATTTTTCATCAGATACAATTAAACCACGGCTATAACAACATCTCCTAGTGCAAGATCATGACAGCACCTGCCTTAAAAAATAAAACAACTCGTTCAGGCTTTCACGCCAAGCAAGAATTAAATAATATCGCGCCTGTTAAACAATCAAACAACACCAATGGATTGTTACAAGAGTCCGTCGGCTTATCGTTACACTAATCCAGCGGCTAACATACGTATGTAATCTTTGATACATCTGGAAACCATGAATACATACGACCCGGTAGCCATTTTGATTTATACGACAACGATAGCTTACCAGTTTTACCAGACCGTGGGTTCGACAAAAACACAACTATAGTGCTTGCCCCAGAATTGTCGGTATTTATTATATATTGTAATTATTGAAACATTATATTATAGCGCAAATATTTTATTTCAGATGAGAAGTGTAGTTTATACGCTATAATGTTTTGTAGAATCGGGAACTGTTAATAAAACACTAAACGTTTAATTCTTTTCATCTTTTTTTGTTGATGTGATGTTTCCAACGCGGGTGCTTCGAAAACGTTGGGTTTTGACTGTTATTTTTCTACTTTCGTTTATTTATTTTATAAGCAGTACATTTTACCAGGTAATTTAAACACGTCTGTACTAATTGTTGTTGCTTTATTTTCAAAATGTGGTATTGTGGGCCCATAAATCTAAGTCGTGTGCTGGTTATTTTGTTCTGACACAGGCAGCTGATCCTTTCATTTTGGACGACGATAGCGTGATCAAATCAAACGAGAGACGAATATTTCGCTGGAAATTACAGTATGATCCACGCAATTCATCGCTTCTAAGTACGTGTCGTAATTCTGTCCAGGGGAAGGTACTTATTGCGGACGAGAAGGGTAAGTAGAATTTAGTAGTTGTTTGTTTATTTTCAGGTATTCCGATTCGTATCGTAGTGTATAGCTGTGTCCATTTCACACCGTATCGAAACCAAATAAATGAAACTTGTCAAGCAGATCGTCACCTCTCTTCTATCACTGGAATTTAGCCAACCGAGCCAGGTTCAACTCAAACAGTATAGATTGTAGAAAACTCAGATTAAAAAAACAAAAACACTTATTTTATACAATTACTTGTTGTATTCTATGTATACTAGTGATTGTTACAATTGTGGGTACTAGATAACATACTTAGTAAGGGGTGGTGGTGGCTTCATTCACATTTGTATGCAGAAACTAGCAAAAACTTGCAAACTTGAGTAAAGTAGTCAACACTGTTGTGTTACTTAGCTTGTGTTTAGAGGTGATCACAGAAAGCCCAATTTATTAAATAATTTTCAGGGTACCGGTATATCAATAATGACGTCACCACCAGTTGCGCCATGTTGATGTTCATGATATTGAGTTAGATTTTTATAAATATAATTCTGATCTGAAGCTATCACTGATGACATCTTATGTACATTCATAGACTTGGAGCACCTCAGTATTACATGGACAATGGAGAGATTTTCTCCCTACTTTAGAATACCAAAGGAATATTTGCACATAACAGTATTGTTTTGTCTTACAGGAAGTTGTGCACAGAGATAGGAGATAAATCACAGTCCCTCTTAGAATCCTATTATAACTGTTTACACACTATTTCACTTTCTGTGCTAAAATTATACAGCTTGTCATTTTGTCATGTTCTTATTTAAAGCAAAGTACAGGTACATGTACCTAATTCAGTGAATATAAAATCCAGCGAAGATGCCTTTTTTTCTTCATTTTACATTCAACTCATCAAAAATCAGTGAAAATAAACTCCATACAAAACACCCAAAAAGTCTTTTCAGCGAAAATTTATTCCCGCTAAAAAAATTATTTTAATTTTATATTATGTAGAATATATGTGTGATCTTACAGTTTGTGAGACATTATTACCTGATGTACAAATACTCAAAATTAGGAAAACGAATTTTATAAAAAAAATAAATGAATGTTTGTACATGAAAAAGTAAGTGCTTGTGGTGGATAAATAAACAAGTCGCACCTTTTAGACACTATGCATGCATATTATTCACACTACACAAAACAAGTACCAGTTGGTACACAGCAATCAACCATTGAGAGTGAACTTCATAATCCTAAAAATTGGAATCCATCTTGAATTAGCTCACCATATTAAACCTACATGAATCCATTCTATCCAAAACATTGATTTAAGGATTACACTTTTAATAATTGATCAAGAAATGGGACTACATTTTGATCACCATGCTTGTCTTTTGTACAACTTGCGCACTTCAAAGTAGCAGTACTTGGCATTTTATATAAGATCACACCTCAAACAATTTCTATTTCAAGACCATTATATAGTTGTGACTGTGTCAAACATTCTTGCTGATGATATTTTAGATTGAGTGTGATAAGGATAAATCTAATCAAACTTTGCTAATTCTGGCTAGAGGATGACCCTTGTATTTTTCCTATTTTCTATTTAGGGTATTTGTGTGAACGATCTGATGTATTAGGGAATGGTTGCTGTGATATCACTGCTGAGAAAACAGTCCTGCATTGTTGTGATAAATGTCTAGATAACGGTTGCTGTAGTATTTATGAACATTGTGTATCGTGTTGTTTACAACCTCAAAAAGTGAGTACATCATGTGTTTGTATGTTTAATTTGGATTAAATGACATTTTGCCAAAGACCAATTCGTGAAATGACTATCAATAATCTTCTTTAATGACTTTCGTTCTCCTGAAATCGTTGCAATTCAACTCATCAAAAATCTTGTTTGAATGTACATGAAATTCCCAATATATAGTTTCTTTAAAAGGTTTCATTAAATAGCCACATATTTTTCGGGATGATGTTTTACTTTCCTCTATCAAATGCATGTGTGATTTTTTTTTAAATATATTTTGTTTTTGTAATTTTATTTCATAATTTTCTCTATATTGATTCTTTCTTGTCCAAATTTACTCCCAGACTTTTAAATGGCCCATTAACAGACTATTAACAATTTCAGTTACATTTGTAATGGTTCCAAAACTATCCTGTAAAACAACAAATACTGCTCCTATCTATATCTGACCTAACACATTGTTTTTTACCTGATTACGGTTTTCAGCAACAACTATTGCAGGGAGTTTTAGGCAGAGCAAGTAAAGCCTTTCAGATATTGTTTTCGTCAGTCACTGATCACTTTGAACTTTGTCTAGCAAAGTGTCGTACGTCATCTGAAGTAAGTAGACATTTATTACAACTGCATCAAATACTTTTCTGCTGAAAATGTGCATATTGTATTTTCTATATTTCTGTAATTTGTCAACACTTACAAATGATAACGACAAATTCACAATTAATAATAATAATTTTATTTAACTAGAGTTACATAGTAAGTTTTCACTTATAGTTATTTTGGGGATGGCTGTTCGCTGAATTATACTGCATTTATTTTATTAGTAGCACAATTGTTTATATGAATTATTTTCATGGTAAAAATAAGTTTTATTTTAATGATTTAGTATTCAATTTTTTGGCTTACAGTATTTTGAATTATTGGAGCTAATATTTATTATACAGTTTTTATAGCTTTTATGAATTTATAAGAGAACAGTTACTGTTTTTCTTATGGTCTGATTGAATGAGAATGGAGTGCTCACAATTTGCATCATTGGAGTGTCTGTAAGTGGTATGTTCGATTATGCAAATTTTGAATATATCACTGACAGTGCCTGGTAGTAAGCTAGTTCTAAAAGCGAAAATGATATTTTAGCCGACCTTTCTTTCTAGCATTTAAAAAAAATAATGTACAATAATATGATTATTAACTGAATACCTCAGATGTTTTGACATATATGCTCTGTGATTATTTGCTTTGTGTTTTCATTGATCAGGTTGAAGAGGTCAAGGGTCAAACATGAGTACAATAACAATTATTGTAGCGCTCAATGCCATAGATTACATAGCTAGGTACATTTTAGCATGTAGTTGGTGGTGCAAATGCAATTGATCATCCAATATATTTCAGTGTTGTAATTTTCAAGATTGGTCGCAGTATACATGTACCATTACAAACAGTGTTGCTATGTTTTTATTTCTGCACAGAGTGTACAACATGAGAACACCTACCGAGATCCTGAAGCCAAGTACTGTTACGGAGATAACCCACCGGATTTACAACCAGCAAATTAATTAATCATTTATTTAACTGATATAGAATAAATTATTTAGCCACCTCAAAACAAAAGTACAATTTCTGAAAAGAATTGGAAATTAATCTCCACTGGACGTTTTTTGATATGATGTACAGCTTCATTTGTGGTGATTAATTTTTTAAAAAGTTGTAAATATTTGTTTCTAAAGAATAATATATTATTGAGACAGAGTCACAGAGATCTCACTTGTAAATAGGACAATTCTGAGGCTGTGATTGATCTAGAGAGAGGCATTCTGAAATTTTAACAACACGTTTTAAGTGTTGTATTTTGCATATAACTAAAATAATTCTGCTGGATAATGGCTAGTTTTCAGTCACACTACAAGGTACCACCATCTAGGAATGATGACATCAGTCACTATAGACCATTTGGTCCGCAGTGGATGGATACGGCAGTGCAGGAAACATTGCTGCCAGATTCACCGTGGCATCAGGTAAGAGTTTTCATAATCAAGCTTAAAAGATGTTGGTCGTTGCGCCAGATTTGTGTTGATAAACGTAAAGGTTTTCCCATAACCCACTGCGCTTTACTAACAATATGGCGACAAGTACGCATGCGAGTTTTGATCTGAACAAACGGAACACAGTGCTCTTGGCGGTCAGAGAAAATGCAGCAGTTTCCCTATATAAACTTTGATATTCTCTCTTTTTTGTACACTCTGCTCCATGCAACACTCTAACTTTCTGCAGATGTGTGTGTATTGCATTGTGATAAAACTTGTTTATTTCCCATATCTGATGCATATGTAGTGCATCAACCACCTCCCTCTAACTATTGACATTTATATTACTGACTCTAAA